TGTTTACGTGATTCTCCTGCCTCAGCCTCCCAAGTAGCTGGGATTATAGGAATGTGCCACCACACCTGGCTAATTTTGTATTTTTTTTTTAGTAGAGACGGGGTTTCACCATGTTGGTCAGGATGGTCTTGATTTCCTGACCTTAAGTGATCCATCCGCTTTGGGCTCCCAAAGTGCTGGGATTACAGGTGAGAGCCACCTGACCTGGCCACAGGCAGGATTTTAAAATCTGATCAAGCTTTCCTAGGAGGACGGCTGGGTGGAATCGCCAGAGTGGTAATTCTTTAACACGTTAGAATTAACTTCATGAAGGACCACATAAAGTCCTTCTCTGATTTCCTTTGGAATAGTTTTGAATTTATACATTATCTGGGGGAGAAGTGACATCTTTACAAAAGTTGGCTGGCCGTGGTGGCTCATGCCTATAATCCCAGCACTTTGGGAGGCCAAGGCAGGTGGATTGCTTGAGCCCAGGAGTGTGAGACCAGCTTGGGCAACATGGCAAACCCCTGTCTCTACTAAAAAAAAAAAAAAAAAAAAAAATGAGCTGGAGGTGGTGGCACACACCTGTAGTCCCAGCTACTGAGGAGGCTGAGGTGGGAGGATCACCTGAGCCCACGAATATGAGGCTGCAGTGAGCCAAGATCACACCATGGGACTGCAGCCTGGGTGACGGGAGTGAGACCCTGTCTCAAAAAACTCCCAGAAAGTTAATTTTCCTATCCACAAACATTCACACCTCTCAATTTATTAAGGTGTTTTTTATGGTTTTTAATAAAATCTGATTTTTCCTATAAAGGTTTCACATATCTTTTGCTGGTCTAGGACCGTAAGACTTGTGATGCTAGTATAAATGGGGTCCTTTAAGATTACATTTTTTGAAGCCGGGCATGGTGGCACGTGCCTGTAGTCTGAGTTCCTGGGGAGGCTGAGGTGGGAGGACTGCTTGTGCCCAGAAGTTTGAGACTGCACTCCAGCCTGGGCAACAGAGCAAGACACCATTAAAAGAAACAAAAACAGTTCAGGCGCGGTGGCTCATGCCTGTAATCCCAGTACTTTGGGAGGCCAAGGCCAGGGGATCACCTGAGGTCAGGAGTTTGAGACCAGCCTGGCCAACAAGATTTCCATCTCTACTAAAAATACAAAAATCAGCCAGGCATAGTGGCGGTCACCTGTAGTCCCAGCTACTCGGGAGGCTGAGGCAGAAGAATGGTATGAACCCGACAGGCAGAGCTTGCAGTGAACTGAGATCGTGCTGCTGCACTCCAGCTTGGGCGACACAGCAGGACTCTGTCTCAAAAAAAAAAAAAAACCCACAAAAAACAAAACAAACCAAAAACAAAACAGAAAACCCAAAATCCTCAAAAACAAACAAAAAAAAAGGATTACATTTTCTGGTTGCTTATTGACTGTATATAGGAATATGTTTAACTTTTTACCTGGTTGTATAGCTAGCCACCTTGATAGATTTTCTTGTTCATCTCTCAGTTATTTACTTTTCTCACAACGTTGGCAAGGATCTCCAGTACAATGAACAGACAAGGAGTTATTGGAATCTTTCTCTTGTTTCTGATTTTAAAAGAAGTACTTTGAATATTTCACAATTAAGTATGTCTGTATAGTATCTTGGAAGGTAACCTTTATCAGATTAAAGAGGCTTTCTATTTCTAGTTACCAAAAAGGTTTTTTTTTTTGGCTGGCCGCAGTGGCTTCCGCCTGGAATCCCTACACTTTGGGAAGCCGAGGTGAGTGGATCGCTTGAGCTCAGGAGTTCAAGACGAGCCTGGCCAACATGGTAAAACCTGGTGTCTACAAAGAATAAAAAATTAGCTGGGTGTGGCGGTGTGTGCCTGTAGTCCCAGCTACTTGGGAGGGTGAGGTGGATCGCTTGAGCCTGGGAGGTCGAGGTTGCAGTGAGCAGATGCCATGCACTCCAGCCTGGGGGACAAAAGTGAAACCCTGAATTTTTATTATTCATAATAAAAATAATGAATGGATGTTGCATTTTAAACAAAGGCTGTTCTGTGACTATTGCGGTGATTCTATGGCTTTCTTCCTTTCATTTGTTAACGTGGTATATTTGGGGGAAGTGAGGCCATGCCGTGAAAATAAACCCTGAAGTCTCCATAGCTTCATTTTTCATTCACGTCAAGCAAGCCCAACATGGGTGAGTGGGGTGGTCCCTGTCCAGGCTCCCCCAACTTCGGGCTCTGCCATCTTACCACCCAGACTCCAGGAGTACTGGGGGTAGGAAAGAGTAAGTACGGAGCCACGCAACAGTTCTTAAACGCCCAGCCCACAGTGACATGTGTCTGCCTCTCAGATCTCAGGCAGGGGCCTGGGAAGTGTAGTTCCCTGTGTGCCCAGGAAGGAGATGCAAACCAGATGTGTAGAGCCGCAGCGTCTAGCATGGGGGTCAGTGACGTTAACTGATTGAAATTATTCCATCCTTGCGTTTTTGAGATAAGGCCAACCTGGTCAGGAAGGACTGATTTTTATGTGATGCTGGTTTGGGGTTGCTAAGATGATTTTATAAATTTTGTATCAGTATTCATACACTGGACTGACTTGTAATGATCTTGTACTGTCCTTGTCTTGATTCATTGTCAAGGTTATATTCCATTCATAAAACAAGTTTAGTGTTTCCTTTTTCTTTTCTTTTTTTTTGAGACAGAGTCTCTCTCTGTTACCCAGGCTGGAGTGCAGTGGTACCATCTCAGTTCACTGCAACCTCCGCCTCCCATGTTCAAGCGATTCTCCTGCTTCAGCCTCCTGAGTAGCGGGGATTACAGGCGCCCGCCACCACGCCCGGCTAATTTTTGTATTTTTAGTAGAGATGGGGTTTCATCATGTTGGCCAGGCTGGCCTCGAACTCCTGACCTGAAGTGATCCGCCTGCCTCAGCCTCCCAAAGTGCTGGGATTAGAGGCGTGAGCCACTGCGCCCGGCCTGTGTGATTTTTCGATTAAGAGAAGTGAATGAGGTAAAGCAGTCTGTAGAGTGCTTGGTACTCCAAAATGCTCACCAGACCCTGTTCCAAGTATTAACTCATTGTAACTTTGTGAGACCTTAGGAAGTAGAGGCTGTTATTACCCCCACTTCCAGCTGGGGAAACTGGGAAGCAGAGAAGAAAACCACTTACCCAGGGTCCTTTTGCTTAGCTGCAGAGTCAGGACACAGCCCTTTGCAGCCAAGGCCATATTCCCCCAGACTGCTGGCAGCCAATGAGGGACTCAGATGGCCCGAGCCACATCTTGACTGCTTCCTAAATAATGCACTCCTAGTGAATGAATGAAAAAAAAAAACGGTTTGAATGAATGCTGGGGCCTGCCTCTCCTCCCACAGGGGGACAGTGAGCAGTCAGCCATCATACCTCATTCTCCAGCCTTGCACTGCTGGGGGCGGGACCCAGCTTGTGGACCGCAAGGTCAGAGCAGGTGGGAGGCTTGGGGCCCTCGGCTCAGATACCTTCAGTGGGACTGCAGTTCTTGGTTGGAGCAGGCATCGGAGCCTCCTGGGTTACTGGCTAAGCACGCACACTCTCAGGCCCTGGGCGGGGACACTCTGAGGGTGGGGCAGAAGCCAAGGTGTTTCCTCCGTGACCATGGCGGCTCCCTTGCTGAATCTCGCGGTCTCGCTAAATCTCGCGGTCTGCCGGTCACCAAAGACCAGGGTGGGTCGCAGCAGCTGCTGCCCCGCCGCGCTGGTGGGAAGGCTGAGGCCTGAGGTCCATACCTGGCATGTCACCTACTGCTCACTGGGGTTGTTGGGGCCAGACCAGGTTCCTGGCGTTGCTGGCAGGGGAGGGAGATGGGAGTGGAGGACTAAGGAGTGAACTGGTCTCTCTTGGGCCTCTGCAAGCTCATTGGTCAAACTGGACAAAAGCAGATGAGGAGGAGCCTGAGGCACGAGTGGCTGGAGTGGCTGAGCAATGTGCCAGAGGATTGCAACGAACAAAACAGAGAACCTGGGCTTCCATCCTCCGGGGTGGTGCCTGGCACACGGGCACTGCCAACAGCTGAGGGGACGGTGGATGCCTGCCTGATGCGGGGTCCCTTCTATCAGATCTTGTGATCGCTCCGGGAATACTTGGCCTCTCCCTTTAAAGGGACAGACTTAAGCTGCTGCCTTTGAGGGGGCATGAGGGGAGATGCCTCCTCCTCACCAGGTCCGACCTCTGCACGACCAAGTACAGAGAGATGCAGAGATCCTCGGCTTCCCCAGGGGCTGCTGTGGGGCTGAAAGCTGGGGACTGGGAACCAGGGTGAATATGAGGGCTGGCCCTGATTCCCGCCATCCCTGGGTGGCTATGCCGGGGTGCTTGGTCTCAGGTGCTAGCGTGGAAACCCTGGGGCACAGGTGGGCCATGGCATGGGGGTGGCTCTGGGAGGATAAGGAAGATAGGGAGATGGTGAATGGTCTCCCAGAACCATTGGGCCCTGTGCCTAACTCTGCATGGAGGGGACACAGCACACCTCAGGGCAGAGAAGGGACTGGAATCTCCAGGGCCTCCTCACTCTGACTCCTGTAAGTGCAGAGGCTTTGCTGTTTCTTGCTGGGGCTGGGCCCGAGGCTCTGCCGCTGCCTCCTGGGTGGCAGAGGACACACCGCAAAAGGCACACCATAAAGAGTGCTTCCGGGCCCTGAGGAGCAGTTCTAGAGCCTGCACTCCTGAATCCCACCCGAGGACGCCCTTTTCACCAGGACACTGGGGTGGGGGACTCTTTTGCATGAACCGACCTCCAGGGAACGAGCAATTCTTTGCCCAGTTGACTGCTTCTAGGGCACAAGGCTTAGGAGGGAAAGTTCTGGCGACATCCATTCCAGTCAGCCACAACTACCCCAACGGCAGCGAGTGGGCCTGGGAATGCAGCTGAATGACCCTCAGCCTCCCAGAAGCCCTGCCTGCTACAGGGGTCTCAGAAAGGAGGTGGCGAGGCTAGCCCAGAGCAGGCTGGGCTGTCACTGTAACTGCACACACGCAGCTGGGCGTGGACATGACATTCGGCAGCTTTCGTCTGTGTTTATTTTTTTTCATATAAAAGTTACATGTTTGAAATGTCTGCAGGAAGATGCCACCATCAGACAGGTTAGCTGGGGCATATATATTACAATGTAACCCTGTGGAGGTCGTGGGGCTGGAGCGGGAGACGCTCCCCAGAATTGGGTTTAGGTCAGACATGGTGTGTGCCTGCCCCTCCTTGCCAACCCCGACACCTGCAGGTGAGGACTGACCTCTGCAAGGAACGAGTCCTCTGCCTGGCTCCTGTCTGTTTGTGAAGACTGATTCCCACAACCCGCCCGGCCCCCCAGAAGGAACAGACGAGCCATGGCCAGGCCGCAGCACTGAGCACAGAGCTCAGCAATAACCAGGGCCAGGAGCATGGGGCGCAGGGGCACGCCTGCCATCAATAAATGAGACATACATCGCACCTTGCCGTCCTCACGCAGGGAGCCCCAGGCACTGCTCATGTGCTGCCTGGGCCCCGCTGCTCAGACCACCAAGGGCTCCTAACAAAGGCCTGGGGAGTTGCTTGGGCACACTGGGGCCAGGCACAGGGTCTGTTCTGAATTCAGGGAAGGTGAAGAGACCCCACCTCCACCTGGCTCAAGCCCAAGAACAAGGCAGACAGAGCTGTGGACAGCACCCGACCACAGACACGGTTCCGCCTGCTGCTGGGGGGAGAGGCCTGGTTTCTGAGGCTGCAGCATGGCACTGGCATTGCCTGTGCTCCAGAGGGGGACTCCTACGAGTCTCACAAATACAGGGAGAATTTCAGTTCGCACAAACCCAAGGGCCCTGTGTGCAGAGAGGCCCTCACACGCGCACAGCAGCATTCAACAGAGCTGGGCAAGGGAAGGGGAAAGAGGGGCAAGGATTGAAATGAAGGGACTTCAAAAAGAAGGAACAAACTAAAAACCCAACCCACACACAATACTGTTAATAAGCCAGCGACTCTACACACACACTCCTTAAATAATAAAGTGACAGGTCCCGGCTGGCCCTGCAGGACCACCGCCAGAGGGGGTCCCGCCGCCAGAGGGGGTCCCGCCTGCCACTGCACGGCTTTCCTCCCTCTATCTACAGGACAAACAAAACATGGGAGAGGGGAAAAAACCCACATTTTCTTCTTGATAAATGCTGTTCAAAAACCCACGAAGGACTCAAAGTGACATGGTTGTTTTAAAAAAAACCCAAATGATCAACAGATGTTGCTTTCTACGTTTTGCCTTTGTTCTGTTTGAACTGGGCTAAGCATAGTTAGACCCTGCTGTTCACTTGACCCTGCTGTCCTAAACCTGGGACAAATGAGCACTCAATTCATGCACAGCAGACCTGGAGGCATGGGCTGGGGCAGCACGACTGGGTTCCCGCAGTGCCCTGCCTGCAGGCTCATGCTGGAGGCCACAGAGCCGGGCGGCACAGGGCAGGTTCTGTTTGCCAAGCGCCCCACAAGCCTTGCCCAGATTGTCAAGCTCAGCAGCGAGAACGGTTTTGACGAGGAGGAGGGAAAGAGCATCTGCTCTGCAAGCCGCTCTAGTGTGGGGAGAGTAGGGAGAGGGCGCACCTGCTGCAGCTGCTACCTTAGGAGGCTCCTCCGCGGCCAGGCCTCTGCCTCCCTGCACCCCGAGGGCCCATTCGGGTGCCTCAGGGATGCCCTTCCCTCCCAGGGGCGCTGACAGCACTGGCTGAAAGGTCTGAAGAGCCAGAGGAGGAGCCCTGCTGGCCGGCCCAGGATGGGGCGAGGAGGGAGGGAAAGCCAGGGGATAGGGAGGGACAGGAGATGGAGTTTAAGGCACACAGCGAGCGATGGAGGAGGGAGGTGCTGGCCTCTCCCCTCTGAACTAACTCCCCCAGGAGCTCAGCTCTGGCCTCAGTTTGGTGAGGTTCAGAAGACTCCCAGCAATAAAAAGTACTTCTTGGATGATCAAGTCCTCCCTTACTCCAGCCTCCTCTGCTCAGCTCCCCAGGTGGTGTGGGAGGGGCCCAGTGGCCTGGGGTGGGGGGTAAGGGGCGACAGGATGACAGACACTGCTGCTGCTCTCAGTGGGCAAGGGAGGCCCTGATGGCGCCAGTACCGCGGTGCAGAGCACCAGCTGCTAAGGGGTCACCTGCGTACCTTTCCGGGCCTGCTGCAAAGCTCACACCATCCTCCATGCAACAGAAGCGGAAGCGAGAAGTGAAAGGACCTCCTCCCAGTCTACTCTGCGTTCTGCCCACCCAGCTGCTCGCCCCCATTCCAGGGCCCCTGGAGGACAACCCACCCCAGAAGGCCTCCATTCATTTTCCATTTCAGAAGATTCAGGGACCCTGGAGCTCAGGGAGGGGCAGCACCCGCCACTTCCTTGGTCTGCTGATGAGGTCTCTGCTGCTCTCTCCCTGGAGGGGAGTGGGTGGAAGGGCAAGAGGGGAGAGATGGAAGTAAAAGCAGAAAACAAAACCAAACCAGAAAACCACCGGTTTGCAAATTGGCAACAAGACCTGCCTGCTGGCTGCAGAGGCCCACGGGTCTGCTCCCACAGAGGAGGGAGGCAGGAAGCAGCAGGCAGGCTCCAGCTCCCGCCCGGCCCCGCTGAGGCCTGGCCAGCCTCGTGGCTCCGAGGCCGGGACTCCTGCCACGCGCCTAACAGGTCCAAGGTCCTCTCCGGTCTGGGAGCTGCCCTCCGCGCCCCTCGAGCATTCTCCTCGATCCCGGCGGCTGCTCCTAGGTCTTCTCTTCCCGGTCTGTTTTTCTCCTTGTTATGTTCCTGGGTTTAATTTTCAGAGAGAGTTCCCATAGGGCCTCCTCAGCCAGGTGGTCACTGAAGTCATTGAAGAAGTTTATAATGTCGTCGTTCCTCCGGATGTCATAGTGCCTGGTGCAGGGGATGGGGAGCAGTCAGTGAGCACCTGTGTGGGCTGGACGGCCCGATGGCGCCACCCTCCTGGACGGTGCCGTGGGGACCATCCCCACAACCTCGCAGCAAACGGATGCTGCAGGGGCTGCCATTAACCAACGTGACAAAGGGGGGATACCAGCACTCAAAGACAGTACCAGCATATGGAGCACAAACAGGGCCCTGAGGCTGGGCTGCTCAAAGGGAAGGGGCCCCAGGTGACCCCACTGCCCCCAACAATGCAGGTCAGGGCTCGCCCTGGGGGAGCTCTGGTGCCTCCGAGTCAGGCAGGCCAGGGTTTGTCGGGTGCTTCTCACAGCAAGGTGGGCACCAGCTTCTGGTGTGTAAGATGGGAGGACGAGCTGTGCCGTCAGGGGGTCCAGGCCCAGGGCCAGGCCTGGCATGGAGCCTGGTGGGCATGCTCTCAAGTCATCCTGGCAGAAACTGAAGGGCCTGGACTATATCCCTGCTCAGCAGGGGGCGGGTCCCTGGGTCCTCTGTGGCTCCCTCTCCCCTCGGCATCCCGGGCTGTCTCTCCTTGGGTGTGGCCCAGGGCTCAGCTCTGCCCAGCCCCCCGGGGCAGCGGCACTCACGCCTGCTGGAAGCACCGCATGCTGTCGAGGATGTTGAACTGCTGCCACCGCTTGGAGAAGTTCACTTTCCCATCGATGTAGTCTGGGTTTCCCAGGTGAACGAAGGTCAGGTCCTGCAGGATCAGCCCCCTGGGAGGACGGGTTAGGAAGCCTGTTACTGCTACAGGGAGGGGCGGGTTTGGCAGCTGCTCACTGGGAGTCCTAGCGCCTGACACATGACTCTAGCCCTTGCTGCTTCCAAACCCCAGAGCAAACCAAAGAGCCAGTCTGGGGTGTCTGTCTTTCCCAGAACAAACTCCCTCCTCAGCCTCTGGCCTCTGGCTCCACAAGCACCTGCTGGGGCCCTCGGAAGCCAGTACAGCTGATGAGAAGCCTGAGGGTGACGTGGCTGCCATGGCTGCTAAAGTAACATTAAACAAATGAGCAGTAAAAAAAAAAAAAAAAAACAAAAACCCCCCAAAAAACCAAAACCCAAACCAGGGGTCAGGGGCGGAGATCTCCTTTTATTAACAGGTGTGGTGGGCTGGGTGTGATGGCTCATACCTGTAATCCCAGTTCTACAGGAGGCTGAGGCAGAAGGATTGAGCTCAAGAGTCTGAAAACAGCTAGGCTGGGTGTGGCGGCTCACACCTGTAATCCCAGCACTTTGGGAGGCCGAGGTGGGAGGATCACCTGAGGTCAGGAGTTTGAGCTCAACCTGGCCAACATGGTGAAACCCTGTCTCTACTAAAAATACAAAAAGTAGCTGGGCGTGGTGGTGCATGCCTGTAATCCCAGCTACTTGGGAGGCTGAGGCAGGAGAATCACTTGAACCTGGGAGGTGGAGGTTGCAGTGACCACAATTGGCCGCTGCCACTCCAGGCCCTGGGTACCAAGAATGTAACTCTGTCTCAAAAAAAAAAAATAAAAAAAAAAAAAAAAAAAAAAAAGAGTTTGAGAGCTTAACCAGCATGGGCAACATAGCAAAGACCTCGTCCCTAACAAAAAGTACAAAAATTAGCTGGGCATGGTGGTGTGCGCCTGTAATCCCAGCTACTAAGGAGACTGATGCGGGAAGATTCCTTGAGCCCAGGGTTAAAGGTTGCAGTGAGCTATGATTGCACCACTGTACTCCAGCCTGGGTGACAGACGACTCTGTCTTTATTAAACAAATAAAGAAACAGGCCAGGTGCGATGACTCACACCTGTAATCCCAGCACTTTGGGAGGCAGAGTGGATCACCTGAGCGTCAGAGTTCGAGACTAGCCTGGCCAACATGGTGAAACCCTGTCTCTACTAAAAAAATACAAAAAAATAAAAAAAAAAAAAAAAATTAGCCGGGCGTGGTTGCCGCACGCCTGTAATCCCAGCTACTACTCAGGAGGCTGAGGTGGGAGAATCTCTGCTTGGAACTCAGGAGGCAGAGGTTGCAGTGAGCCAAGATCATGCCACTGCATTGCAGCCTGGGTGACAGAGTGAGACTCCATCACAAACAAACAAACAAACAAGGTGTAGTAACTTAATAGGTGCTTCTGACTGCAGAGGACTTAAGGCCGGATGAGAGAGACAGGGGCGGCTCCTCCACTCAGGGAGAACTCAGCTTGAGCGAGCAGCTGTGGAGCCATGGTGGGAAAGACTGTTAGCGCTCAGAGCAGAAAGCCTGGGGATTTGTATCTCTGAGAGTTTAGGCCTCGAGGGCTGCCCTACAGGAACCCTATAGGATGTGCCATTGAACACTCAGCCTTGGGATGCTGCTGAGTTTTGGTCTCTTGGAGATTCTCAGTGTCTATGGCACACTAAAGGCTCTTGTAACTCCTGCAACAGACACTTGTTTGGCTTTGGTTATTCCGCTATGTCCCTTTTCTATGAAACATATTTCCTCCCACCCATGGTCCACACTCAGGAAGCACTTTCTGAACTTCTTTACACCAAGGCTCTCAAGGTTCCTGGGTGGCTGTGCATCCTCAGGTTGTTCTAATGCACAGCCACGTGTGAGGACACTGGAATACTGTGTGATGCCGTGTGTGGGGACAGGAGGCATACATCTGTCACAAGCATGGCTGCACGTGCTCACGGGTAGGCTACGGAAGGAAACAAGAGCGGGGCTGGGGGCTGGGGAAGGAGAACCTGTGTTCTTCACCTGAGCCCTTCTGTTCTGTTTAAACTGTATTATAAGAAGCATTACGTATTATATTATATATATGTATTGTACATTATGTATTACAAGAACCTTAAGTAAAACCGAAGTACAAATGTCTCTGTTAGAAACCCCTAAATTAGGATTTCTCTGCCGGAGCCTGAGAGATCTTCCCCAGAGCAATGGAGGCAAACCCAGGCGGGGCTGGGGGCCTGGAGGGGCTGCTACTCACAGGTACGGGATGCACGGCGGTTCCACCTCCGAGAGGGCGGCCCGGTAGGCTCGGAAGGAGGATGAGCTGTCAATCAGCGTGCAGTACTCGGCCAGGCCCTGGCAGGACAGAAGAACAGGACAGGGCAGGACAGGTGTGAGCGAGTGCTGGGGCAGTGCTGGGACAGAGCCCTGGTCCTCCTCACTAAAGGAGGGTCAACCACCCTCTGCCCACCTCCACAGGTCCCACCACGTGCAAACATCTAGTCAGGTGTGGGTGCTGGCCCTGGCCAGCAGGGATTCTGCCCTTTTTAACGAGTGTCAGCCCAACCCCTGGTCACAGGGGGACTTCAGGCCGTTCTGTGGAGAAACACCCCGCGGCACTCATTGTGCCTGGGCAGCCAGCGCCTACGTGTGTACGACGTCCCGGAAGATGGGCTCCTGCCAGCCAGAGGAGCTTCCCAGGCACACATTGAGTGGCGTCACTCCTGGCTCGGAGCTGCCTCTGCTCTGCCCTGCACTCAGGGAGGACCAACTAGAGACAGTATGTGACCTCGCCCTCCTCAGGGCTGGGAGGCTTCTCTCCTGCAGGGGCGGGGGGCTCCCGCCTAGGAGAGTCAGCCAGCCCTGCCCCACTCAGAAGGCCCCTCTCCTGCCTCTTCTCTGTTAGGTGCCTCTCCCTGCAGTGCTGCCTCCTCAGGAGCCCTCTTGCAGAGAGGCCGTGCGAATTTCCCACCTCTCCCCATACACTAGCTTACAACCATCCCTGAACATGGGCTTGAACAAGACGACCCTGGGTGGCCTGGCTGACACCCGGGTCTCTGACATGACCCCTGGGTGGCGTGGCTGACCCTTGGGTCCCTGACATGACCTCTGGGTGGTCTGGTCACACTTGGATCCCTGACATGATCCCTGGGTGGCCTGGCTGACACTCAAAGCTTTGGGTTTTGCCCCCATTTGCAATAATATTTCCCTACACAGGATAAAGGCCCAACTCCTCACCAGGCTCCTGAGGCTCTCATGACCTAGAGCTGGTCCCCTTCTCCGAGGATGTGGTCCCCTGGCCTCCTCCTGTCCCTGGAGGTGCCAATCCCCACCTGCTCCCGGTTGTGCACTCCTTTGTCCCCTTTGATTCTCTTCCCTTCCCAGGAAACTCCTCCTCCTCTACAGGTGGTGGCATGAGTGACACTTCCTCGGGGCTGGCCCACCTGCCCACCCTTCTTCTTTTAGCGCTTATCCAGCAGAAACCCACCCAACATCATGCTGGGCTGTTCACAGTGCGTCCCCAGCACCTACCGCAGCGCCCGGCCTGAAGCAGACCCTTCAGGAGAACGGGCTGAGGAAGGGCAGGGGAGATGGGAACCCAGGGATGGGCCTGCTGGGTGGCAGCAGAACACCAGGACGTGACCACCCCGGAACCAACCTTGAAGCTCCCTGGGGCCTGAAGACTGGCGATCAGAGACAGGAAGGTGGGAGGGCAGCTGTCCTGGCCACACAGCATGTCGGTGGCAGAGCAGGGGCCTAGGCCCAGCCTTTGCTTCAGTGGGAGCACTTTCTGCCACAGCTGGTTGTCTGAGGGCTGCATGGCCCCCTTTACCAGGCATCCTCCCACCCACGCCCCAAGGCCGCTCACCTCTGAGGTCTGCTTCTGCCACTCCAGCCTGCGGATGGGCGCTGAGTCCAGGGCAGAGAGGATGGCCAAGTAGGAGTTGAAGTTATTCAGCTTCCGCAAGTGCTGCCGAGAGAGGGGCGGCGCCGTGAGGCAGGAGGGCAGGTGGGTCCCGGGCTCCCCAGGCAGGGACTGATGGTGGGGGCCTGGGGAGGACTTGGCCACCATTACCTTCATGATCTTGATGAACTTTAAGAGCAGCCGTTCCCTGTCCTGGGCCTTTTCCTGTAACATGATTATGGACCGGACCCTGCATGGACCAAGGGAAAAAGAAACAGCTGAGCTGACCGGTCCCTGCAGGCCCCAGGGGTCCTGGTGGAGACAGGACCTGTACGACCCCCATGCCAGTGGTCACCAGCCCACCCATACTGAGTACGTGCAGCCTGCCCCAGGCATAGACCTACTTTCTGCTCTCCAGGAGCTCACAGCATCCTGGGACAGAGGGAAGACACCACAAGGAAATCTGGTGACAATAAATCTGGTGACCATAAGGAAATCTGGTAAAGGCCCAAAGGGGGCTTCGAATCTGCAGGTGGAGCATGGAAGGATCAAAGCAGAGCCCTTCCTGGCAAGCATGGACCCCGAGTACCGGGGGGCTGGGCAAGTTCCTTGTGCGGCGCAGGACTGGCTCGGGGAGACCCGCTAGCATGTGACGTAAGAAGTCACTTTTGGCAGCCACGAGGGAAGGAACTTCTGAGAACCTTAGTAGCAACCAAAGCCGAGACCAAAGCCACAGGCCGGTCTCATCTGTGGGATAAACGCAGCAGGGGTGTCCCGCTAGCCTCAGTTTCCTGTGGTTCACAGGGGCCACTACCAGGGTCACTTAGAGGAGGTGCCACACTTTGCACTGCTGCTTCTTCCTTTTTTTTTTTTTTTTTTTTAAAAGAGACAGGGTCTTGATCTGTCACCCAGTGCTGTGAGTGTATCTCACTGTAGTCTTGAACTCCTGGGTTCAATTGATCCTCCTGCCCCAGCTTCCGGAGTAGCTGGGACTATAGGTATGTACCACTGCACCTGGCTAATTTTAATTTTTTGTAGAGATGGGAGTCTCTCTATGTTGTCCAGGCTGGTCTCAAACTCCTACGCTCAAGTGATCCTCCTGCCTTGGCCTCCCAAAGTCCTGGAATTATAGGTGTGAGCCACTGCTCTTGCACCTCTGTGCAGCCAGGCCCTGTGGAGCGTGCCCCCACCCAAGCTTCCTGCACCCAGCCAGAGGCTGCTGTCAGAAGCCAGGCTTGGGGCCTTGTGTGCAGCTTCCGTCTGCCTTAGAAACCACATCCTGTTGGGCAAAACCCTACACTGGACTGCCATGGCTAAACATGCTTTCCCCAGGACAGAAAGCTTCTGTGGGGAGGATGGCAGGAAAAGGGGAGATGATCTCGGGGCCTTTAAAACACATCAGACATTCTCCTGGAGGCAGCAGTGGGCAGTGGGGCTGGCACAGCAGTGGGCAGTGGGGGGGCGCCGCACAGCTGCTGGGCTCTGGGCGGGGCCCTGCCTGATACTGAGCTGCTGTGGGGGCTTTGTTGCCTCTTGAAGACACAAGAGCTCTGCTTTATAAACACACTACTGGGATTCATTTTGCTTTAAGAATTAAAGACTAGGCCGGGCGCAGTGGCTCACGCCTGTAATCCCAGCACTTTGGGAGGCCGAGACGGGCAGATCACAAGGTCAAGAGATCAAGACCATCCTGGTTAACACGGTGAAACCCCGTCTCTACTAAACAATACAAAAAACTAGCTGGGTGAGGTGGCGGGCGCCTGTAGTCCCAGCTACTCGGGAGACTGAGGCAGGAGAATGGTGTAAACCTGGGAGGTGGAGCTTGCAGTGAGCTGAGATCCCGCCACTGCACTCCAGCCTGGGCAACAGAGCGAGACTCCGTCTCAAACACACACACACACACACACACACACACACACACACACACACAGAATTAAAGACTAAATACAAACATTAATGTTATAGAGCCCACTCCTGTGCTAACTGTTTTGTCAGGCAGAGTCCGTGTGAGCGTCAGCCTGAGATCGCCTGGCAGTGACAGGGCAGAAGGGCAAACTCGATGCCCTTCCCAACACCACCTATGGCAGACATTGCTCTTCGACCCTGGCACTCTTCCCCGCTGAGCCTCCTCGACCAGGTGGCCACTTCCAGCAAGCCCCGTCCTGTCCCTGCCCTTGTCCTCTGCTTGCCCCTGTCCTCTGTCTACCGTTCGTGGTCAATGCTCGCGGGGCCCCCAGGAGCTTAGAGGAATGAAAGAGGTAGCTCCTTCTCCTACCATTCGAGCTCCCTGCAAAGGAAAACGCAGAGCCCACCCAGACGTGCCACCATCCAGAGCGACAGGGCTTGGCGCTGGGCCCCTCACCAGTAGGACATGTTGTTGAAGTGCTCCGTGAACTGGGTCAAGTTGGGGCTCTTTTCCTCATTCTGCTCTTTTGCCCAAAGCAAAACCTCAGGAATCTGCAAAAGGAAAGAAGGCAGATGGAGGTGGAGCCCCCGGCTTTCCCGTGATGGGGTTTCTCTCATTCAGGGACAACCAGTGTGGCTCCCCATGGCAGGAGCAGCCTGTACCTCTATTTTATAGAAGAGCTCAGCATCCAGCAGAGTTAGCTGCTCTGCGATCTCATGGCTGTGAAAGTCGTGCAAGGTCCCCGGCCTGGAAGACAGAGGCGTGAGAAGAGCCGTCAGGGGTGGGGAGGGCGGTGGGGAGAGGTAAGCAGGCCCGGGCTGCAGTGTCGGAGCAGGAGAGCCTCTCTGCCCAGCAGGAGCGTGGAGGATACGTGGCGGGGAAGCCCCAGAAGGCTCTCTGGGGCCCTATGGGCCTCCTGCCTCTCTCTGGGACAACACTGTCTGCCTTTCTCTCCTGTTTCTGCTGAGTGTGTCCAGCAGCTTCTGGAATCAGGAGCCTGAGTTTCCCTCGTGAGCTCATGGACAACTGAGATGCCAAGAAGGCTCACTCATGGCTGGAGCCCGCTTCCAGGTGGCCAGCAAGAACAGAGACGGTGCCAAAGAAACGAAGGCTATGCACTCACCGGAAGGAGCCCACTACTCAACAGACATCTATAGCTGCAAATGGCACTCACCGTCAGTGTGGAGGGGGCAGGCCACAGACAGGAATCTTTACGCAGATTCTTTTTTTTTTGAGACAGAGACTCACTTTGTCACCCAGGTTGGACTGCAGTGGCCGGATCTCAGCTCACTGCAAGCTCCGCCTCCCAGGTTTACGCCATTCTCCTGCCTCAGCCTCCCGAGTAGCTGGGACTACAGGCTCCCTCCACTGCGCCCGGCTAGTTTTTTGTATTTTTTAGTAGAGTCGGGGTTTCACCATGTTAGCCAGGATGGTCTCGATCTCCTGACCTCGTGATCCGCCCGTCTCGGCCTCCCAAAGTGCTGGGATTACAGGCTTGAGCCACCGCGCCCGGCCTCTTTATGCAGATTCTTAGGGATGGCCAGGGTAGCCCAGAGGGCCGGGCTAGCATCAACCACTGCCAGGTTCATGCTGGGACAACCCAGAACTGACCCAAGCCCAGAGTGTGTGCACTCCTGCCCTGTCCTCTGAAGCCCCATGCCCTGCTGCCCACTTCCTAGTCACAAGGGGATCACCACCCAATATGTCTCCTGGAGAAGAGGCCCAGCCCCCAGGGACCCACGGGGCTGTTCCTGAGGCACCTCATCAAAGGGCCTGCGCAGAATCAGGCTGGGGCTGTGGGGCTGGCAGGGAGGGAGGGTAAACTGAGAAAGGCACAGCTCCTGGGGAAGAGGCGGGGCTGGAGAGGTGGGCTCCTCACCTGGCTGCTACCCCCCGGGCCGCCAGGGGCTGGCCAGAGGTGGCACACCTGAGCAGCTTCTTCTGGTCTACCTTGTCCAGGATGTTCTTCCGGAGCACGCGGGCCAGGCTCAGCTCCCCGTTGCACACCAGGCGGAAGACCAGTTCCATCAGCAGCTTCAGGATCTCTTCTGTCAATTCCACCAGGCTGAAGGACCAAAGAGCACAAGGTGAGGAGCAGGAACACAAGGCCCAGGCAGACTCTGGCTTTGCCTTGGGATACACAAAGGGCACGGGGCCGTGACTGGCACAGAGCTGGCTGGGAAACTTCTCATGGGAAGAGAGCAGGAGACGAGAGCCTGGGATGGCTGCCTGTGTTCTTGGAGGTGTTGGGATGGTCATAGCACCTGCCATACACGCAACAGCCATCTGTTGGCACTGGACAAGCGCCAGGGACTCTGCTGGGGCCTGGTCTGCAGGGACAAGTCCCACACAAATCCTGCCCTGGGGAGCTGCTGCTCCCATTGGGCGATGAGACACCAAGACTTCCTGACCTCTCAGACTAGATGCCTGAGGGATGCTCCCCAACTTGCCCTGCTGAGAGCTGTCCACGCGTGGCCATTTCCCAGCCGCACAGCCACTGACCACGGTCATCTCCCCCAGCAGGAGGAAGACAGTCCGCCTGATGGAGATTTGTCAGCGGAACCGATATGGCAAGTGCCATGCCGTCAGATGGCCAGCCATGGAAACACTAGGAGTGAGGGAGAGGCAGCTTCTCCCATGCCAGCCTCCACACAACCTCCACCATGGCTGGTGGCTGAGAGCATGGCCTGCTGGAGACTGGACCTAAGATACCCATGGGAGCAGGTGGGTGTGGCGGGTTCTCTCCTGAGGGTCCAGGAGAGAACCTCACCCACCTCACCCTGGCCTGCTGGGGACAGGCCATTCTCTCAAAGGACCAAGATAATGCAGGCAAGAGCCAGCTCTGCCCAGAGCCGATGGGCAAGAGAAGCAGGTAGATTGGAGCCTTTGCCTCCCCATTGGCCCCCTAGGACCCCAAAGGTGAAGCACTCACCAAAGCTCATCCACCACCCGCACCAGTACGAAGAATGTGTTCTTGCTGACGCGCTTCTTGAATGTGTCGGCGAAGGGAGAGAATTTCTCGTATGTGGAGCATGGGTTAAAGAAATAGCCACGTGGCCGGCCGGGGGTGGTGGGAGTGGAGGACTGACTCCTGGGGAACACTTGCTGAGCGCTCACAATGTGCCTGTCTCCCTGCGTGTAAAGCACTGGCATCCAGAAATGAGGGCATGGGACTAGCGCAGGGCAACAACTGCAAAGCCAGGATTTGAGCACAGGCATCTGACCCCAGGGATGCCCCCGGCTGCTGTCCTCTCCTGCCTGCCATGCCATCTCTGCTGCACTGTCCAGGCCTGCCTTTCTGTCGGGTTCACCCTGAGGTGCCCGTGAGACTACAGACATGTAGAGAGTGCCTTGCTGAACCTTAGATAGAGAACGGTGGGCCCAAACCAAACACCCTTAAAACCCCAGGTCGCTGGGCAAGTGTGTAGGCCAGAAGTGTCTCCTTCCAGTCTTTCTGTGAGTTTCCATCCTGAGGCTGCCTCCCTGGGCTCTGCAGGGGAGCTCTCGCCTCCGTGACACTGGGCCGGGTCTCTCTTCCCAGAGCTGCGGCACGCTCCAAATTGGCTCCCTGTCTCCAGGGCAGCCCTTCTAGCACCCGACCAGCTCTGGCTCATGCCCTGAGGTTGGGCTCTGCTTTGCGGTCAGGGTTTCCTGCCCGGCTGTTGTGCTTGCCATCAACTCTCCAGACCTCTCCGATACCCTCCTGCTCTCTCTCTAGCGATCCTGGACCTTCCAAGTCATGGGGCTCAGGACAGAGCAAGGTAGCAGGGATGATGGCTTGGTCCATAGCACAGGGGTCGCCAGCCAATCAGGCCTAGACCTTGATGCTGCACCATTTCCATGATGGCTGAGCCAGGCAGAGGTGGAGAGCCTGGGCGCTGGCAGCAGGGGGGCAAGCGCCATGTGGCTGCTTTCCCACCAAGCAGCCACATGGGTCAGGTCCTTCCTGTCTCTGAGCCTCGGTTTCCTCAATTACAAAATAGGAAATTATAGAGCAGTGGCCCCATGTATAATACGGTAATTTTACACACACCCACACACACATATTAAAAAATGGTCATAGAGCTAGGTGAAAGCACACATGTAAAGCACATCTCGCCTGACCAGCAAGTCCTCGACACGTGTGAGTGACAGCCATTCACTGAGCCAGGCCTGTGAGCAGGCGCTCTGAGTGACAGAACTTGCCAGGGACCCGAGACTCCGCCAATGGAAGAGGTCCACGTCTGTCTTGATAGATTCGGAATTCTAAAGGTCACCACGAGGGCAGAACGGGAGGCCAGGAGGTCTGCAGGAGACCCTGAGTGGAGCAGTGAAGGCTCAGGGCATACAGGAAGGGGTGAGGGTGCTGGTGGACTCAGGACTTCCTACCCCAGGTGGTGGCGGCTGCCCAGCAGATGGCAGCCGTGGGCTATGTGCTAAGAGGTGGCTGAGGAGCAGCCGACCCAGCCTGCCCTCCTGGAGCAGCAGCTGCAGGTCAGCCTCGTAGGGTGGGCAGGTTTGGGCTTGAAGAAGCAACGGGTCACACAAGTGGGTCCTTCCAAGCCCCTGGGGTCCTTCTCAGCCACTACTGCAGAGGGTGACATTTACTGAGGGTGGGCCCGTGAGGTAGATCTGGGGACAGGAGCCCATTCCAGTTGTGGATGTGGCAGTCGCAGAGTCCGCTGCGGGGGAGGTGACTGTGCTGACCCCTGAGCTTTCTATTTGGGTCTTGGTGTCCATCGTGCCCGATGTCCTGGGGCTCAGCTCTGAGAAGCTGCCAGAGCCGACCATGGGGGTCTCTGCAGGGGCGTCTGCAGGACCAGCACACTCGCTCCCTCCCAGTCCGGGGCGTGTCTAATTCTTCTTTAGAATCATCCAATGACCACAACTGCCACCAGGCACACATTCCCAGACTGCGTTCCAGCCTCTTCACATCATTTCACTCGACCCTTTAAGAGATGAGGAGCTTGCCCGAGCTCAAAGCTGGAATGCAGGATGGTAGACGTGGGAACCTCGGTCCGTGGGGCTCCTGTGTCCCCACTTCAATCACACTGCCACCCAACATGCGGCTCAGCTTCCCCTACGAGGGCCGAGGGGCAAGAGGGTCCCTCTCTCTCTGAAATGCCCATGGCGCAGGGGCCGTGGGTCAGGCGGGAAAGGATATCTGTACTGCAGCTTCTTGATGAGCTCCTCTGGGGAGATGAAGGTCCTGTAGGTGGTCAGGAAGGCCTCGCAGTACAACACCAAATCTAGAGGGAAAAGCAACACAAGCTGCTTGTCAGGGTGCAGAGGGCTGAGGGTGGGAGCTGGGGTGGATTTGAGTCCTTGCTCTGAGAGAGGCAGGGGAGATGGCATGGGGGAGTGGGACGGGCGAGGGAGCCAAGGGCCTGGAAACCCCCTCTGGTGCCTCCGCCTGCATGTCCCAGAGAAGTCACATGTCCTCTCTGTCCATCTCTCAAAGGAAATGGCAGATCAGAGAGGGAAAACAGGAACGGGTTTTATCTCATGGGCACTTTCTACTGACGATGGTGCTGCCTTGAGAACCGTGCTGTGGGAGCTGAGGCCAGCTCTGGTCCCAGCGGAAGAGGGCACTTAGGTTGACAAGTGATGCCCCTGCCCTAGGCATCAAAACCCGGAGGCACGCCTGTTCCAGGTAGGAGCCAGCCCTGGATTAGACTCTGAGAGGCTCTGCCTGTCTGTGTCTAATGCTTCAGAGGGTCTTAGCCATCATGGGCACAAAGGAAATAATCTGTTCAAACTTGTCAGCAGGATCCTGAAACGAAATCTTAGGCAGTACTTTTATTTTTAAATTTTTATTATTATTATTATTTTTGAGACAGGGTCTCACTCTACCACCCAGGCCGGAGTGCAGTGGTGCGATCTTGGTTCACTGCAACTTCTGCCTCCTGGGTTCAAGTGATTCTCCTGCCTCAAGCTTCCCGAGTAGCTGGGACCACAGGCACACACCACTATATCTGGTGATTTTTGTGTTTTTAGTAGAGACAAGGTTTCACCATGTTGGCCAGTCTAGTCTCAAACTCCTGGCCTCAAGTGGCCTCCCCAAAGTGCTGCGATTACAGGTGTGAGCCACTGTGCCCAGCCAGTACTTTTAGATAGTAGGGTCCAACCCAAAAATCTGGGGAAATTCCACGTTTTGGGTCCTAAGGGATAGGCTGAAGAGGCACAGCCTGGGCCGGGTACTGAGGAGGGGCGTGGTGCCAGCCACTGGGCAGATGTGGGCTGGCAGCTCCAGTCCACCCCTCACTTCTCCACGCCTGCCTCCTCTAAGAGGAGGCTGGTACCAGCCAGGGACTCCCAGACTTCCTAGAATTACGACAGCCTTATTCATTTGCTGTGGTGACACCTTCTCAACTGTGCTGTCTCTGATATTACAGAAAAAAGTGGAATTTTAGAACGTAGGACACTGCCTGAACCAACAGGTGGCCAGACTCACTCCCTGCAGCCACCCCGCATGGCTGCTGAGGTGTGAGACCCAAGGAGGCTCCGTAGCCGTGCTCCTCACTGTGAGGCTGGGCGCACACATGCACGGCTTAAATCTTGTGCTCTGGGCACAGACCACCTGCTCCCACCTTCTCACTCATTGCCGAGCTGCTGGGTAGAGGAACCTTGAGGAACCAATGTCTCCAGCTGAGCTGTGCTGGCTTGGCTCCTGCCCCCACCCTTGCCCCATCCCCTCCTGCATCACACAAGAGAGGAAAACCCATGCCTGCTCTTGCACTGGAGGCTGCATGGGGTGGGGCCGGCAGGTGAGGGAGGCTCCGGGCTGGGAACCACAGCAGGGCCCATGTGCACCGTGCTCGGGCTCATTCCTGGGCCCCCACACCCACCCAGTTCACTGTCAAGCTTGGACTTTTGTTCAAAGAGTGCTTCAGGAAGGAAGCAGAGATGGGCAGCATAGACCCACACCTGCTTCTGGAAGAATGGGCCCAAGTCAACTGGCCTTTGCGGGTGCATCATTGCCAGTAGCCATGGCAACTTCGTGGGACTCGCTGGTGAGCACTGGGCCACGCCCTGAACATACGCCACCTCCTTCAGTGCCCAGAGCAATCCCACAAGGACAGAGAGGCCTGTTACCCCACTGAGAGAGGAGGAGCCCAGGCACAAAGCCACACCACCACACCGGGTCTGCGCCCATGTCTGCCCAATTTCAGAGCCCTCCCTCCTCTGCTGTGCCCTGGATTATGGCAGATGGGACAGCACCTGGCTTCCGGGACAGGCAGTGCCGTGCCACTCCTCTAGCAATCACAGGACTCTCGGTGTGGCCCTGAGCACTTGGTGCACCCTAGCTCACCTGGTCTTCATGACAGCCCTAAAAGGCCCAAAATTGTCCCTCATTTTCCTCCCAAGGAATTGGAAGCTCTGGGGCTAAGTGACAGGCCTGGCACACAGTTGCCAAGGGATAGACAGGATCTAAGCTGAGGCCTGAGGCCAAGGCTGACCTGACCTTCTCCCATGCAGGTCCTGACACCTGAGAGCAGAGCCGCACAACCACAAAGCACCCCCACGTGGCCTCTCCCTGCCAAGCCCTGCTCAGCAGGTTGGGGTCCACAGGCCTGAGCCATGGGGCTCCCAGCCGCTCGTGCTGCTGGTGCAGTCTATGGCTTGCAGGAAGCACCTGCCCAAGGAGCTTGCTTTGTTACCTGCCACAAGGTGCTTCACCCTCCCAGTGGAGCCATGGCTTCTGCCTCAGTAATACTTTCCTAGGTACAACCTTGGTTCTGGGGAGCCTCCAACCCTCCTGCTAATAACATCAGGCAAAGCTCCCACCGGCACAGAGCCTCCTCTCAGCAGGTCCAGCTAGCAAAAGCCAGAAGCCTCTCGGCTGTCCTGTCTCGAGGCCCCCTCCAGCCTTGGCCACAGCTGGCTGTACCCGACAGGACAGTGGAGTTCACCCTTTGGAGCCGAGGTCTGAAGCCAGCTCCCATTTCAGCCCCTCACTGTGGACAAAAAGGAAATGAAAGTCACTCCTGTGCCTGGCTGAGGATGGAGCCCCACTGTGTCTGGCAGGCAGGGGATTCACTGCAGAGAAGCCAAGTGAGGGCTGCGCTAAGGATGGTGCTGATCACGCCCCCTGCACCGCTGAAGTGCGGGGCAGGTTTCACACTCCCTCACGTAATCCGCATAACAACGGGCACCGTTCACCCCTTCAACAAGTGGAGTCGGCTCAGGCCGAGAAGCCTGGGGACTGCCCAGGGGCCCTCCGAGCCTGTCATGGCACAGCTGGGGCTAGGATGCAGCATCGCCAGGTCTAGGCCCTGCCCTGGTCAGAACAAACAAAGGGTGAGGGAACAGTGAAGGGGAGGGCGGAACAGTGGCTGCGGTGAGTTTGTGGGAGCCATCTCTTCTTTTTCTCTAATTTTCTGCAACGTAAATATTTTTTAGTACTACTTCCATAATTCAGAAATTCCCCGAGTCATTCTAGGTCACCAGTTTTGGGAAACGTGTTGAGGAAACACAGGGACAGAGTCCTTTACAGAAATGAAACAGCGGGAGGCTGAGACACGAGAATGGTGTGAACCCGGGAGGCGGAGCTTGCAGTGAGCCGAGATGCGCCACTGCACTCCAGCCTGGGCGACAGAGCAAGACTCTGTCTCAAAAAAAAAAAAAAAGAAAAAAAAAAGAAATGAAACAGGCTGGGCTAGGATTTCAAGGTGGGGGGTGTTTTCATTCCCTCCACAGTTTACTTTACCATTGCTCTGACATCATCTTTTAAATCATTTTTTTCAATGTAAAAAGCAAAGCAGCGTGTGGAGAGATGGGCTGGCCGGGTGGTGCTGGCCCCTTGAGGGCAGGCAGTGAAGGGGGTTGCAGCCACGCCCCACCAGGTCACTGGCACCTCCTTTCCAGAACATGACTGGGAATGACAGCTCTTTTGCTACCAGAGTCCACCCAACAGGGCATTTTAGGGATTAGGGGATGGTCCCTGCTTTTCCAGCCCTCTCAATCAGCACACTGAATGCGTGGTGGGGTGGGGCAGCTGTGTGCTGTGAAACTGAGGCCGCTGCTACAGAATCGAAGGTTCCTGGACGGAACAAACTTTCAAGCATTTCCTCGTGGAGTATGTGAGTGAAGTCTGGTCTAATGGTCTGGAATAACAGAGTGACTTAGCAGTCGGGAAAGGGATCAAAAGGTACCTGCATGTTATCTTAAGTTTGGTACTACTAGGTGACATGCCACCATTCAAGGCGCTGTCTGTGGTGCACCTGCTATGCGCTGAGCCCCTGAGGGACCCTGGAGTCATTACCTTGTACCAGTGGAGGACAGACGCCACACATGCCTGGAGTTGAACATGATCTACTTGTCTCCCAAGGTGGGCTCTCCCTGCTCTGACTCAGGTGCCCCAGGACTGCTCATCAGACCTGCTCAGGGCTGGCTGCCAGAAGGGGACAGGATAGTGATGGGAGGCCGAGTGGCACCTGGGGCGGGATCAGCCCCCATCTAGTGAGCTTGCTGACACAAAGGCCGCTGCAGAGAGGGCACCCTACCTTTCCTGTCAGTCTCAGTAGCATGGACCAATAAGATGTCCCCAGATCCTCCGCGGACATCCGGCCCGTCATCACCCTGTAATGAAAACAGCCAAGGAAAGTATGAGGCAGAGTACGCCCTTCAGAGAGTCAGTTTAGGAAGAAATAGGCAGGAATGAGGTGACAAAGAAAATGCAACGCAGGGACCCCAAGTCCCCTCTCCTGTGCTCCTCGGCCCAGGAGCAGTGTGACTGCACTGCAATGCCAGGGGTGCCCTCCAGACTCGCCTTGTGCTTGGTGACAGCCACAAACTGGACTGAGTCTGGGAGCTGGATGGCCTGGGAGCTGCCCCGGCACCAAGGCACCAGGACATGTCAATGTTTTGAGCACACAACTTGGGCCAGGGGACACAGCACCATCCATCCTTTTCTGCTCACCAAACCACAAGTCAGAGGTGAAATAGGACCCCCCGGGGGCAAGACAGTTCCCAGTCTTGCCCAGGATGCCTGTGGAGGCAGCAGGACTATTTCCAAGCATGTTCATGTTCCCCAAAACTGCAGCAAGCTGCCCTAAATCTAAATCCGTCTCCCCAGGTGGAGGTAGAAGTTACTTGCATTGACACAGGTTCTTCCATGGGGCCCTTCATTAGAGGAGAGCAAAGCATTAGAGAGATATTCAATGACATCTGATGCTGCACACCACACCTGCCTGTTAAGCAGCAAGTCTTGCTTCCATGCGGGCAAACAGAGGTCACCCAGCATACAGCCAAAAAGAGCTGTGACCAGGGCCAGGGACGGAGGTTCAGGACAAACCTCCAGGCCTGTTTCTGCCCCTGCTCCTCAATGCTCCTTGCTCTGTAACGCTGGAGGGGACAGAACCAGCCCTCTCAGCTGTGGCACACACTCCGAGACGTGTCCACCTTTTTATTTTTGGGCTTTGGTATTTTACCTCCTGACTCCAGAGGCCTGAGATTGTCTTGGGTTTACCTCTGGGAGTGGGAGTTATGCCTTTGACCTGATTTTAAGGAAGAAATTTATGGCAAGGATCATGAAATGACACTTCTCTCTGCAGAGGAGCCCAGCTGTGTGAGTACCCCCACCAGCCCTGCCTGCGTGTGACAGTCCAAGGCACAGACACCTTCCTGGGCTGCTCCCTGCCATGGCCAGAGCCAGCGCATTCTTGCCTGGCAGTCTGCAAAGGATGGTATCTGCCTTTTGTCTATGTGTCATCAAATCGAAGCTCCGAAATAGTTGCCTCCTCATGCGGGCCAAGGCTGCTTTATGAAGCTGTTCCTTTGCACTTCCAGCACTGCACGCCAGGAGGGAGAGGCAGGGCACTCTCGGTCCAGCTTCCTCTCCACTGTCACAGGTTTGGGCCCTGTTTTCACCAACGAGGTGCTGCAGGCAAGGCACAGGACCAGGGAATCCACAGTGTCCAGGCCTGAATTTTCTTTTCTTTTCTTTTTTTTTTTAGAGATGGGTCTTGCTATGTTGCCCAGGCTGGTCTTGAACTCCTGGACTCAAGTCATCCCCCTGCCTTGGCCTCCCAGGGAGACACCCAGCTGGTGTCTCCCAGGCTGAAGCTACAGTGGGGCTATATTTTCAACAACAGAAAAAGTTTCCCATTAGTGAGGGACGACCACACACAGGTTCTGTCTGCAGAGCATTTATATGGATTTCATCTCCGCACCCTCAGGACTTGTGGCATCTTTTGCTACAGAGGCTGCAGAACTTGACCTGTGTAAGATCACTTTCTCGAAGCATCAGGAGACGGCGCACTTCTCCTGGAGTCTATCCCTCCAGAGCCCACAGCCCAGAGGCTCCCCAGAGGCACTGAAAGAGTTGGTCTCTAAGCCTCCTGGGGTTGTTCTGCTTATGACAAGATCACGGTCTCCTCAGCCCCACCTGCTCTCTGTGGGGCCAGGCTGCAAAACCCCGGCCTGGGAAGTCCTCACCTCCTGCTTGAGCGTCAGCCTGGACATAATTTCGTTGTGGTCGATGAGGGACAGCTCGTCCACTTCCTCCTCCGACTGAGCCGACTCCAGAGCATCTGGTGACTTTGGGGCCCTGAGGGGAGAAGTGGTTTGTGTTGCAAGTGTCAAACCAGCCCAGCTCCTGATGCCTGGAGGCCAAGGCAGTGCCGGTGTGCACGGCTCAAAACTGCTCCCAGAACACGCCTGCCCCGATGGCAGCTACATCGCTATGGACTGGATCCTCAGCTTTGCTACTGACTGGCTGTATGGCCACAGGACATTCCCTGCTGCCTCCGGATGTCCCATCGGTCCACGGAAGTGATTCCGCTGGGAAAATAAAAAGGTTCCATTAAGCTGTTTGAGCGATGGTCTCAGCCACTCTCTGCCAAGGCCCATTGCACAGTCAGCATTTTAGAGAGAGGAGGAGCAAAGGGGCAAGCAGAATGGGAGAGACAGCCGCATTGCTGTTGAGGCTGCTCCCCATCTTCTCCAAGGACCGACTCACCACGGGACCCTCTGCTTGGCACTAAGAAAGAGCTGTGAATCAAGCAGATATAGCCTCTTGTCCCTGAGGGTTCAGTCTAGCAGGAGACAGAATTTATTTATTTGTTTTCTTTTTTTTTTTTTTTTTTGAGATGGAGTCTCGCTCTGTCACCTAGGCTGGATTGCAGTGGCACAATCTTGGCTCACCGCAACCTCCACCTCCCGGGTTCAAGTGATTCTCCTGCCTCAGCCTCCTGAGTAGCTGGGATTACAGGCACATGTCACCACGTCCTGCTAATTTTTTTTTTTTTTTTTGAGACAGAGTCTTGTTCTGTCACCCAGGCTGGAGTGCAGTGGTGCAATCTTGGGTCACTGCAAGCTCTGCCTCCTGGGTTCACGTCATTCTCCTGCCTCAGCCTCCCAAGTAGCTGGGACTACAGATTCCCGGAACATGCCTGGCTAATTTTTTTGTATTGTTTTTTAGTAAAGATGGGGTTTCACTGTGTTGACCAGGATGGTCTTGATCTCCTGACCTCATGATCTGCCCGCCTCAGCCTCCCAAAGTGCTGGGATTACAGGTGTGAGTCACTGCGCCCGGCCGCTAATTTTTGTATTTTTAGTAGAGACAGGGTTTCACCATGTTGGGTCAGCGGCTGGTCTCGAACTCCTGAGACCTCGTGATCCTCCCATGGTTTGCCTCCCAAAGTGGCTGATTACAGGTTGAGCACCGGCGCCGGGCCGTTCATTTTTTTTTTGAGACAGGGTTCTCCCTCTGTGGCCCAGGCTGAAGTGCAGTGGCGGCGATCTTGGCTCACCGCAAGCCCTGGACCTCCTGGGCTCAAAGCATCCTCCATCTTAGTCTCCCAAGTAGCGAGACTACAGGCACAAGGCCCCACCACCATGCCTGGATAATTTTGTTCACTGTAGGGATGAGGTCTCACTATGTTGCTCAGCTGGTTTGATCTTTCCTGACTCATGTGATACCCCTGCTTTGGCCTCCTCAAAGTGTTAGGATCACAGGCATGAGCCACCCGCCCAGTCTTTTTTTTTTTTTTTTTTTTGAGACAGAATTTAAAACAAGTGGTCACGGTAGCACAGAGAACGGAGAGAACCCAGAAGGGTAACCCACAAGACACAAGCAGGGGGTCTGGCATCTAAAGGTCGGGAGGCTTCTGGAAGATGGGTGAGCCGGGCTGGCAGCACTGCAAGCCCAAAGTTGCCGGGCGGAGCGGAAGGGAGAGAACATTCCCCACAAAGGGGAAGGTGGGACGGCCGGGTGTGTCCAAGATGAGTCTCCCAGCTTAGGCTGTTCTGGGGAAAGTGGAAGCTGGGCCTGCAGATATACCCGGCTTTCCCCTGGCATTTTCTTCCACGTTCCTCTGTTTTATACTGGCCAGTCTTGTGGTCATAGGTCGCAGTTTATCCCCAGGTATCTGAGATGTAAAAATATGTGTCTTTATGCCGGGCGTGATGATGGCTCACGCCTGTAATTCCAGCACTTTGGGAGGTGGTGTGGATCACTTGAAGTCAGGAGTTCGAGACCAGCCTGGCCAATGTGTTGAAACCCTGTCTCTAAATCCTGTTTCTAAAAATAGAAAAACTAGCTGGGCATGGTGGTGCTCACCTGTAACCCAGCTACTTGGAGGCTGAGGCAGGAGAATCACTTGAACCCAGGAGGCGGAGGCTGCAGTGAGCCGAGATCGAACCACTGCACTCCACCTGGGTGACAAAGCAAGATTCTGTCTCAAAAAAAAAAAAAGTGCCTTCAGTAAAAGAGTATGGATGGGTCAGAGTGGGCCCTGCCCAGCCCTGACAAGAACCCTGCTCCATGTCTCGTCAATGTTTAGCCTGTGGTTTGGCCTTGATGGAAGGACAACATCCCACAATTATTTCTGAGCAGTCAGAGTGTTCATCCTTCTCTTTCATGAGAACCATCTGGAACTCTGAAGACGATACTTTGGGGTCTGGTGAAGCTGGTGGCACACCCACGAGCTGCATTTGCTTGGCCCACACACTCTGCCCCAGGTATTAACCTAGAAACCACACTATTCCTGGCTTCACACCTGGGGAAACCTCAGTCTGGGCAGATAAATCAGAGAGACAAGTCACAGAGCACAAGAGTGGCCAGGAGGCAGGCTGGGCAGGTGGCCCTCTTCAACAGGTTCCTATGCAATGCTTTCTCATTTCTTTTTCTTTTGCTATTAACTGCCTCTTCAACCTGAGCCCTGAGCCCTGATAATGACAAGTGGGCACTCCCTTGCTCTAAGGTCACCAAAGACCCCAGAGATGGCTAAAGCTTGACCTAAGGAGGGAGGAAAAGCTTGAACACGTGGAACATTTCACAGTGAAGGGGAAGTCAATGTGAAGTTGCAGTGGGAGTGCCCATTTGCAGACCCCACACATCATATTTCACAAGTGCATACTGGGGAAATTCACTACATATTTCTATACTCGGTCAGGTTTGCTTTGTGCTAATATTGAAAAATGTGGCCGGGTGCGGTGGCTCACGCCTGTAATCCCAGCACTTTGGGAGGCTGAGGCAGGCAGATCACGAGGTCAGGAGATCGAGATCATCCTGGCTAACATGATGAAACTCCATCTCTACTAAAAATACCAAAATAAATAAATAAATAAATAAATAAATAAATAAATAAATAAATAAGCCAGGCGTGGTGGCACATGCCTGTAGTCCCAGCTACTCAGGAGGCTAAGGCAGGAGAATCGCTTGAACCCGGGAGGCGGAAGTTGCAGTGAGTTGAGATGGTGCCACTGCACTCCAGCCTGGGCGACAGAGCAAGACTCTGTCTCAAAAAAAACAAAACAAAACAAAACAAAAAAAGTTATAAGACATTAAAGAGCTATAGCGACTAAAAGCAATGAACAGCTCTTGATCTTGGCTGCAAAAAATTAAGATATACAAGACATTTTTGTCAGCAACACAACATGCACACATATGTCTAGAAATGTCCCTGATAACAAGTTTGTGGGTGGAGGGGTGTCTTTTACACTCCCTATCAACATGAAAGAGGCCAAGACCAAGGAAGGTTGGCCTGGGATTTGAAAAAGACAAGACAAGGCTATTGTGGGTAATTTGTAAGGTAGATAATATAGATGCAAACAATTAAGAAGTAATGGCAAACTACATGTGAAGGCCTTTGCAGGGTGGGGTAATTAGTGATTTTTCTTGCTTTCGTGCAGTTTTCTATGCTTTTCAACAGTTTCTACCCTGAGCTTGTATTATTTGAGAATCAGAAAAAAAGGAAGAGGGCCAGGTACAGTGGCTCATGCCTGTAAGCCCGGCACTTTGGGAGGCTGATGTGGGAAGATCGCTTGAAGCCAGGAGTTGGTGACCAGCCTAGGCAACATAGCGAGACCTCGTCTCTACAAAAAACTGAAAGAATCAGCTGGGTGAGGTGCTGCATGCCTGTAGTCGCAGCTACCTGGGAGGCTGAGGTGGGAGGATCGCTTGAGCCCAGGAGTTAAAAGTTATAGTGAGCTGCGATTGTGCCACTGCACTCCAGCCTGGGTGACAGATCAATATCCTGTATCTAAAAAACAAAAAAAGGAAACAAGGAAAGAAGGAAGAGTTTCAACTTGAGACACCCTCAGGCCTAGGGGCCAGCTGGGAGGGGCCGCTCAGGCAGGCCTCATGAGTGGGTACGCTGCTCTTGGGGGACCCAGCTCCTCTGGGTCCACTTCCTACCTCTCACTGCCGTCTCTGCTGTCCTTCCCAGGGACGCTGCTGACTGCTGAGGGATCTCTGGGATGTCCGTCTTTCCCAGTCGGTGGTTCCTGGAAAGAGGAGTGGGTGCTGAGTTCTGGACAGGGGCCCACTGCGGGGCTGCTCTGTCTTCCCAGCATTCCTGCCTGCAAGTGGCCGTGGAGTGCAAGTTCCTATGGAGCAATCTGAGATGTGAACAAATTAACGATGAATGCCGTTAATCATAGGAAACACCAGCCCTGGAGACTAGCATCTTGGGCTTTGGAGAAAGTGAAAGGTGCCACTATTTGTAACATCTGTAAGCTGCCAATCTAGGCAAAGCCACCTCAACCACCTCCTCAAAGAAGACTGTCATAGCCACTCCCCCTGAGCACAGCCAGGCGCTGGGCTCAAGGCTCTGTCTGCTTCCCCTCATCTGACTTCGTCAGTGAGCTAACACCATCGTCCCCACTCCATGCACAGAAACAGAGGTCAGAAGTCAAGGACCCTGCCCAAGACCACACAGCTCATAAACAGCAGAGCTTGGATTTGAACCCAGGGCTATCTACCCGCAAAGCCTGTGCCCTTAACCACTGGACCCTGCTGTTGTGAACCACACTCTGCCGATCTAAAGTTAAAGAAGTTCTCAGGGCTGCAGTGCCCAACCGGGTTCAGTCCCCAAAGGGCCAGCTGCTCAGGCCCTGGGGTGCCAGTCTCCTCTTCCTCCGGCAGACTCACTTCCTCCTGCGTCCCTGGGCTGGCCCCACTCAGTGACAACATGGCCCTCCAACATCCCTGGTCTGCTGCTGAGGCCTGATGGAGACCTGGGGCAGGACAAATACAGAAATAGTGCTTCGAGGCAAGGAGCCAGTGGGCCCTGGAAGCGTCACCGTGGAGGGAGAGAGCCGTGCAAAGCTGGCCTCTCCCTGCGCATGGACTTCACCATGGGGAGGCTGAGCCAGGGGGTGCCAGAGGCACAGGTCAGCAGAGGAGAGAGCCCCCACGGACAGTGGGTCAAATCCTACTAGAGTGAACACTCTTCAGTGTTCTACAGCTTGCTAACGTCTGAAACAGGGCTGGCTCTGTGTGGGCCTCTGAATCTGTAAGGTGCTGACAGAACCACCTTAACGGGTGTGACCAAGCTCTTCATGGGCAGGGCCCTGCCCTGGGGTGGATCACTGGGAGTCTTCCACTCCTCATGGGTCTCCCTTCAAGGAACTTGTCCCACCTGGGCTCGTGGGGAGAGCAATTTCTGAAGCTTTTGAACTTGCTCATGTTTGGCTGAAGCCAAACTTAGAAAGTGGATTGATTGCTCAATAGAACTGTTGTACCTTGACGGTCGGGAGCTGGGATAGCAGCGTCACAAGGGTGCTGACGTCGGGTACCTTGCGCCTCCCTCAGGAGGGGGTGTGCATAGCCACGGCAGGGGCTATGGGCCAGACTCACCGGCTTCCTCGGAAGCAGTTAGTGTTGAAGCAATGGGACATGCTGGGGAGGAGGGAGATGAAGGTCTGAAAGGCCCTATGGGGAGAAGAGTCCCTCCCTCTGCATGAGGGACAGAAGATGAAGCTAACACCAGAAGATGAGGGAGGAAGGAACCCCACAGAGAGCACCGGATACACAGCCGGGGCCCGTGCCATGCTGCTCCCAGAGATTTCTAGAAGACCCATCTGGCCAGGCTCTGAGGAGTGCCACACGCATTGAAGCAGGAGCAAAGGGCAGACCTCCACCTGGAAGCCATGTCCTCTCCCAAGGGCCGAGCTGGCTCCCAGCAGCCTGCAGGAGCCCAGTCTGCTGGTGACCAGGAGGGGGCTCAGCCCAACAGAAGCAGGTGCGGGGGAAGCGGCCTCGGGAGGGCAGGGCCCAAGCCCTGCCAGGCCAGGCCACATGCAGGAGGCCGCCCGAGGTTACTTACTCCTCCAGAGGGAGCCAGCTCCTCGCTGCTCTGGCCAGAGGAATACAGATTGACATATTCACCCTCACCAGCTTCCTCACTGGCGTTTTCACTCTGGGGGAGACAGGACGAGAGGAAAGACACATGGGCCAGGCCCTCCAGCCAGTCCTCACAGCTGGCCAGGGGACGCCGCTGCCTGCACTCTGCTCTCCCCAGGTGCAGAGAGCAAAGCTGCTTTTGCCACCTCTTGCCTCTGCGCTAGAGAGGACCCAAGTCGCCTGCAGCTGCTTCTCCAATGGTGTCCGGGGCTAAATCATCCTGGAGAGACGGCCCCACTGTAGTGGAGACGGCAGGGGTCCCCAGTGTGGCAGGAAATGATTATGCAGGGAGAAAAGCAACACATCAAGACAATCCCACACACTGGGGAGTGGGGTCCGCTGCCTGCACTTCCTCTGCCCCATGTATTTCACTGCTCCAATCGGCAAGGCAGCATTTCTGAGTTGGACGAAGCGCTACAGGCACTTTAAGAGGCTTCTGTCATCGGCACCACATGCAACCAAACAGACACTTGCCCTGAATCTGTCACCTCCACACTTGCAAAGGGGTGTGTGACACCCTTTCCCTAAAAACAGACAACTAAATGGAAAGCTAGTAGCATTTTGTATCTTATGCGTCTGATAGCTTCATCTCTAAATGGCCACTAATCTATTTGTGGAAAATCAGATTCCTAGTTTGATAGAACTTTGTATAGAAGAGTCAGTTCTGTTCTGGAAACAGATGGGCTACCATTGCACCTTGTGACCCTCAGTAGTAGGTGCGCGCTGGCACCCCTGACTGCCAGTGAAGGGGAGGCAGTGTCTTTCAGGAACCGTGAAACCGCTTTTTAAAAAACCGTGCAGCCCCACGTGCAGGGGTATGTGTGCGTGTGTGTGTGTGTATGCGTGCGCGCTGAGTTCTCACCGAGTCAGTGAAAGAGGTTTCGGAAGGAAGGCAGACAGTATTCCCATGAAAGCTGCTCTCCTGAGAAGCCGAGAGAGGCCCGTCCACGGTGCTGGGAGGTGGACCGGCCATGGCTGGCACGGCTAAGTCAGAGCTCTGAGCCTGGTGGGCAGGTGGGAAATGTGGAGAGGAAGAGGAGGTAGGCGGAAGGAAAGGCGGAACGGAAGCTTGGTGGTGAGGCACGAAATCCTGGGAGTAGGACCTAAACACAGACTTATACTACAGAATCCAGGTGGAGAACAAACAAAAACGAGAATACGGGAAGAAAACAGAAAAGAGAAAAAGTAATTAGATTGGCAGTAGCTGCGCAGTGACAGGCCGTTCATAGTAACTCTAACAGGGACCACCAATCACGCCAAGCAACCCCCAGTCCTCAGGCTACTGTGATACCCGCACCCAGCACCTCCTCCCTTGAGAAGGGCCCTGAGGCTGGAGAGTGAACAGCGCTGTCCTCAGGGCTGTCTAAATGGCCACATGCTCCGCTGGGACAGAAAATAAAACCTGTGTGGTCCATTGCTGTCTTGCCTGCTCAGGAACCTCACGACTAAATTCAATGTCGTTGTAATTACTCATTTTGAATTTCTGGACGAATCTCTCAGGTTTTATTCCTTAAGCGTCAAACACTGCAACTTTTAAACACTGAAATCCACCTTGAATGCTTTTGGAAAGGAAGGGCTCAAACCCTAAGCGTGGCTGGCAAGCTGCACTATGGAAATGCTAACGATGTCTGAGTCCATTTCTCTTCCTAACCCATTTTCTTTCTTTTTTTCTTTTCTTTCTTCCCCCCCGCCATTTTTTTTTTTTTTTTTTTTTTAAACAAACGAAGTAGGCTGGGCATGGTGGCTCACACCTGCAGTCTCAGCACTTTGGGAGGCTGAGGTGGGTGGATCGCTTGAGCCCAGGAGTTTGAGATCAGCCTGGGCAACATGGCAAAACCCCATCTCTACAAAACACACAAAAATGAGCTGGGGGTGCTGGTGAGTGCCTGTAGTTCCAGCTGCTCTGGAGGCTGAGATGGGAGGATCACTTGAGCCCAGGAGGCAGAGGTTGCAGTAAGGCAAGATAGAGTCACTGTACTCCAGCCTGGGTGACAAAGCAAGGCCCTGTCTCAAATAAAAACAAATGTGATCTTACACCTTTGATGCCACCTTGTAGCCACAAGGCTATATTCCCCTAGATGCTCATCAGACAGGAAGGTCTGACACTGTGCTGAGAAGTGACAGCAAATCCCATGGCTTTTGGGGCCCAGTGAGCACCCCAGGCTGGGGCTCTGCTGCTGAAGGAGGGACAGAGGCGTTCTAGGACCACTGGTCAGCAGCCTCCACGTGGAGAGAACCTAATGATGTGATGTCATCGTGTCCTACAAAGGCCTGCCACCATGCTGCTACCACCATGGGGAGCGTGGAGAGCGCTGTGGGGGTGGCCACGTCCAAAGTCCTTGCAGATATGGGTGAATGAACGAGTCACAAAATCAAACAAAACAAAGACCTTGCTGGGCTCACTGGTTGGCCCACTGCAGAGGCTGGGACGTGAGGAAAGTCAAGCCCAACACAAATGTGCGTGCCACTCACTGAAACATTCTCTGTGTTGGCTGTGGTTGGGGATTTTCAGAACCCACGGAAAAGAGGAAGAGGAGGAGGACAAATGAAGTTTTAAACTAACAAGAGGTCAAAGCCACTCATCCTTAAGTCGTTTTTTGTTTTCACTTTTGAGACAGGATCTCACTCTGTCACCCAGGCTCACTGCAGCCTCGATCTCCTGGGCTTAAGCAATCCTCTTGCCTCAGGCTCCTGAGTAGCTGGGACCACAGGTGCATGCCACCACGCCTGGCTCACTTTTTGTTTTTTTTGTAGAAATGGGGTCTTTCTATGTTGCCCAGGCTGGTCTTGAACTCCTGAGCTCAAGTGATCTGCCCGCCTCAGCCTCCCAAAGTGCTGGAATTACAGGGATCAGCCACCATGGCTGGCCCTTAAGCAGTTTGGCAAAGCTACCCTTTAACCTGTACAAAGAGCTACTATAACTCGAGGGACAACGCAACCCTCTCAGTTCCACCTGTGTGTACAGCTGTGGCCCCTTCCTGGTTGCACTGACCAGAGTTTCAAGCTCCTCCCTCCTCTCACTCCTGTGAGCTCCAGTTGCTGCTAGATCTCACACCAGATCCATGACATCTGCCCTAAGAACTCGCTACCACTTACACATCTGCTTTCCCCATCTAACCCACAAACTCAAGGCCAACCCTCGGCCATGGTCAAATGAATCAGTGGAAGTGTCATACATGTGACCAGCACTGAACACTCAAGTACCTGTACAAGTGAAGTTCCCTTCATATCCTTCTTTCAGGAGAAGCTCGGGGGGGCAGACACCCTACTTGGTACACCCTGGCTTGCCGCCCTCACCTAAGCCCTCACAGGAGGCTCCACGCAACACTTCAATGTTTCACAGCAATTACCCAGGATGGCGCTGCAGGCCTGGGAGCTCACTCTGGGCCTTCCTGGGATGGCAGCGGGGTGAAGGGCTTGGCTTTCTGGGTTTTCCATCGCATCTCTGGAGGACGCTTGCACACAGCAAGACTCCCTTGCTGGCTGGGAAGGTCCACAGAGAAGACAGCGAGCGGGATGCACTGGCTGAGTGGTGGGACGGCGTGCTGCCTTCAGGAAACCCTTGCATGACTGTTTCAGGGAGTGGCTCAATCTTTTGCAGGAGCCCAAATTCTCAGATCGGCCAGATGTTCGTTCCCAACACCCAGACACTGCCACGAGATTTGCTAAACACTTCCCGCTCACCTTGTCTTGCTGCCGCCTAGTTTAAGAGTCATGCTCCACGCCAACTCCTTCTGGAGTCTTGACACAGCCTCATTGGCGCCATGTAAAGTCACTCTGTGCTTACACGTGCCCTGCAATAACTAGCACCTGATTTACACACACACAAATGGCTTTTGTGTCATCACAAAATGTACCAAGTTGGAGAAGTGTCTTCCTAACCAACCACACGGTGTGTTTAGCGGGTTTTAATTCAACAAGGTGAGGGGCAGACTCCCACAGCGTGGTGCCTCTTCCGGGAGATGGCACAGGGCAGCTGCTGACTGCACGGTCTCCAGTTGCCCCTCGTGGCATCTCTGCCTGTGTGCCCTAGTAGAAGTGACTGAACTTCTCGACCCTTAGCTGAAGCTGTTCATCTTTAAAACGGGGATGAAAACAGCCCCTCTCCCATAAGGTTTCTGCGGACGTTCCGTGAGACGCAGAACACTACATGCAGGTCCTCCGCATGCTGCTGGTGTGGGCGACCTCTCGGCCAGCAGCAGCTGTCTTCTCCTGCCCTCCAAACAATCCAGGAACTGCTCGAAATAACAGCACTGGGGCATTCAGTAGGGACCTAATACGTATTTGCTGATATGTATTTTAGTAGGCACCTAATACATAGTCTAGGCACCGTATTATTAATTAAGGTGCCTAGAATATTGCCTGACTCACAGCAGCGGCTCAGTTTTGAGCGTGGATGGATAAGAGACAAACTTCACCCACTGCATGGGTTCAGGTCCAGACACTGGGGAGGGAGGCTCAGGGAAACGACCAGGGGTGTGGACTGCCAAGGAGGGGGCAGCTACCAAGCAGAAAGGAAGGAGAGTCGGCCTCTCTTGGACAAAGGGGCCTGGCCTGGTCTGCCCTGGCCCTCCCTCTGCAGCTGTGAGCTCACGCTCTGGTATTTAAGCTATGCAGTCATGCTGGGACAAGAGCCAAACTGGAAAGGTACCTTCACGGGGCAGGGAGACACAGGGAAAGCCTTCTGATCACCATGAAGCCCTTGCTGTGCCCCTTGGGCTCTGTAGATGCCAGCAGCTGCATCGGGGCTCATGGTCACACCATTTTCAACAGGCCCCATGATTCTCCAGAGCAATACTTCCAGCCCCTTATGATCACACTTACCCACAGGGGCAGGGAGAAAGGCAGGGAGGGCCGTTCCACAGAAACGCCGCCTCACCACAGCCGGGGGTTTATTTTAGGATCTGGCTCGTGCCCGGCTTTGCTTCTGACGAGCTGCTGCTCTCTGTGTAGCAGGAACTTTTATTTATAGCCAGAATAAAACTGTTTGGGCTGAGGATTTTAGAACGGGAAGGGCTGCCTGTCTGAGACTTGCAAACTTCTGCAGAAGATCTAGGGGTGCCAGTGAGGAGAGGGGGTGTCTGGCCCCCAACGTCAGCCCTGGTCACACAGTCAGTCGAAACACAGCAGGGATTGCCTCACGAGGACGAGAACAACTACTCCTACTGCATCTTCCTGCTGGGCAGATGAGGCATTGCATGAATCATCTCAATTAACCTACACACAGTGCCTTACGGTTCTTATAACTGATGAAAATACTGAGGCTGGGAGGGGAGACCACGTGCCTAATAATACAGCTGGTAAGAGGTGGTGTGGGGATGGCTGATATCACAATCAGGTCGTGTTTTCTGAAATACTGAGTGTATCCCGGACATGAGACAGGCCCTAACCATGCGATCCCACAGTTCTGCAGGGTACAGCCTCACCAACTCTGCAGAGAGTTCCTTAGCTGAGTGCTTTATGACGCCAGGCATGCAAAGCCCAGTGAGCTGAGACTTGATCCATAAGCCAGGATGCAGAGAGGGGTGCACTGGCCAGAGTGCGGCAGGACAGGCAGGGAAAAGGTGGAATCAGCAACCAGCTCCTTTGGAAACACAACCCTGAAAGGGAGTCAAAACGATGCTGGAGGCCGATGACCTCATATGCGAGCGTGTGGCCAATTCATTAAAAGGCAAAGCTGCCTGAAGCTGGCCAGGCAGCAGTTTTTTTTTCTCACAAGTAAAATACTTAGAAAAGGCACCAGTTTTCAGTGACACCTTCTCTCTATTATAGTCCTGGCATGGAAAAAGGACTAGGGGTGGGTCCTGTGTTGCCTTAGCAAGAAAGTAGGAAAGATCTTTTTCTTCCTTTCTTTTTTTGAGACAGGGTCTCGCTCTGTCACCCAGGCTGGAGTGCAGTGGTACGGTCATGGCTCACTGTCGCCTCGACCTCCTGGGCTAAACTGATTCTCCTGCGTTAGCCTCTCAAAAAGGGTGGACTATAGGCATGTGTCACCAGGTACAACTAATTTTTTGGATTTTGTAGAGATGGGGTCTTGCTGTGTTGCCCAGGCTGGTCTCGAACTCCTGGGCTCAAGTGATCCTCCCACCTCAGCCTCCCAAAGTGCTGCGATTATAGGCA